GGGCCGGCTGCCACACAAAGGATGCTGAGGCAGAAACGCAGGTTTCTACTGTCGTCAGCAAAGCTTAGATGATTTTCGAATTCATGCACAGACTGGAACACTGGTAGTTGCAAAGATTACAAATGTCAGCGGTTTTAGTTTTAGCGACATGCTAAGTTTTAGCAACCAAAACAAGCAAATAGGAAGCTGCATAAGTGTAACACTGACTAAAAGAACATCCGTGTACCAATCGCTTTACCAGACCACAGCCCCTCGGACAGGGGCTTGCATATAAAGCTGAAGGATTATTTTTTGCATGTATAGCCATGTACAGAGCATCTTCACATTATATGTCATGTACATGCTATGAAAAAGGGAATGACCAGCCTGATTATCCACCTGTAAATTACATCCCTGTGTTTTTGTGTCGACTCGGTGAACAGAAACCGTCAGCTAGTCCTTGATGTTAAATCTTCCTGTATAAAACAGAAGGAGCCGTTTGGTCCAGGAGGAACAAAAAGGACATTTTCATCCCCCGAAGGACCAAATATGCGCTCTCACACTCCCGATGTGCGCAGTGTCATTTAAAAACGTTGTCTGAGGCAGTCAGATGGGCTGATGAGCTGCAGTCAGCCATCACTGTGTTACTGTTAGCGGCAGACTCGTCCATTCCTTTATCTTAAGCAACAGCAGCATGGGCAGACAACAGGACTCAACGGCGTTAGTTTACTCTCAAAAATAAAGTCTCTGACCGCGATCATCAACATCCGGTCTGCAGCATTTGTTAGGAAAAAGCTAATAATCTACACATTAATTAGGCTGCAGGACTGTAGTCTACAGCACACTGATGCTTTAAGATAGCAAACAAAGAATGCCTTAAGGGAAGCTCAAGTAAAAACATCTAGTATTCAAGATTTCTGCTGTACAAACTGCCCAGGCTGCACTTTATTTAACATAACTAAAACACTGTGTTGTGCTTATCTTTTCCTCCATCGTTCTATAAGTGGTTACTGTGCAATATACGAAGGGAGAACCGTCTCGAGCTTCCACTGGTTCGGCTAACACCAGATCCAGGTGGACCCATCATGTTGTCCCGTGCAATGTAAATCATCGCCTCTCATTCACCAGAGGGTCAACTTCAAACGAGGATGTCTACACGGGAGTGGCATAGTGCCACAGCAGAGACTGGTTTCTATGGGAAATGCATTAGGAAACACGGCTCTGCAAGGCGTGCATGTGTTGCTCAGTATTGCATGGCAGACTTGGAACAAGTGTTCACAAGCTACTGAAGAAATCGGCTGCTAAATACACCATAAAACACCGGATGGTGTGCGAACACGCCCTGATTTGTTTCGACATTTCCACGCTGGCATTTCAGGGCTACTATGTTCAGCACTGAGATGCATGAAGCAGGAAAGCCAGCGTGTGAAAAATGTCACAACAAACAGCAGTAAGATTGTCTTATAATAATAATAATGACTAAAAGCTTCAATTATTATTATTATTAGTATTGTAACTGCCTAATTTCAGTCCTATTAAATATATTTATTTGAGGACGTTGCATTATAAGCCTCTCACCCACAGATGATAAGTGCTATACAAGTGGAACTCTTCATTATTGTTGTTAAACGTGACAATTTGAAAAGGATTCGATTGGTTAACCCTGACTAACTTTGTAAACTTTCTAAAATCCAGTTTTGTATCTTTTTCCTTGCAGATGTAGCCAAGGTAGATTTTTTTGTATTTCTAAACGACATTTAGGATAGTTTCAGTGTATAAAGCTGGTACGTAGACTACATGGTGTCTGAATTTAGTGGATTAGACTTTGATATATTTTCCACAGAGAGGAATCTCCCCTTTAACGGTGTAGTAGTGCATCATAACCAAACTTTAAAGCATCTGATTTACTGAAATACACGGTCCGCTAACTCATTTGTGTCTTTGTTTTTCATGTATAGTAGATAATTTATATATTTATTTATTTATTTATAGAAGATTATTTCTCTAAGCATAAGATGTGCTGCAGATCCTTGAGGAGGACAGTTTGGAGTTGATTCATGGGATTAGGTTTCAATGTGCAATACGAGAAAAGCTTCAGCTGCAGCTTACTTTCTTCCAGCTCGGTCCGTGTCCTTTTTTTCCTGCCGCAGTGTTTGTTGTAACCCTCCGCCAGTGTACACTTCTTCATGTTGTCCTTGTGACGGAGGAACTTTGAGTGTAAGTAGCATGTTTACATAAAGAAACAGTGGAACATTGCCAGTGTAATTGTCAGTCTCAGGCTGTTGTGAGCGAAAGTTTTGTAGATATTAGCCGTGGCTGTGAGGCAGGTTTGTTGTGTGTGAGGCTCAAACAATCCCCTGAACAGTACTCACTCAAACCACCAGGTGGGACCAACATTAGATATGAAACACACACACATGCAGAGGTCTGCTGAACTCTTGTGTAATGACAGCACCAGCAGGAACAGAGCGAATCACCTCCACGATGTGTGCATTTGTGACCTCGGTGTGGCCCAGGAGCCAAAAACAGAACTGTCTACAATGTCCGGACAATGTTCCATGTTTCCACAAACTTCTGTACTAACTGTCGGCCTTTGGTCTTCGCTGTTCTGTAGCTAGATGTAATGCCCCCACCCCCGGCTCTTATCAGCCTCCCCTCCTCCCCAGTGTGCATCCATGTTTGCATCCCCTCCTGTGTTCCCCTGCACATGCATGACGAAGAAGCCCGGTGTACGTGCGTTATAGCAGCATGGTCTACTGTGATGGATGCCTGTCGGTCATTCTGTCAGATCGATTCCCCGCAGTAGGATTTCAAAACATCTGAGTCTTTGTGTGAAATAAAGCGAGCAAGTGTGACACGCACAACCACTGCTCGGTTCAGACAGACTGAACAGAAACACAAACAAGCACCATTCCTGGAGTCAGAGTCTCCTCCTCACCTGTTTCTGTAGAAGCTGTGAAAAGACATCCTGCTGTGCTGGGTCCAGGCTGCGTCCCAGGTCATCTTTTCGTTTGTTGGTGTGTGATATTTCAGTGTCTGTGTTCGTGTTCAGCCTCCTCTCCTGCCCTCCCGGGTCTTGCTCTCTTCAGTGTGTCTCTCTGTGAAGTCGTTTCCTGTGATGATGAAAATTTCTCTCTGCCTGAATCTTTGTAGGGAAATAATGACTGAAATTATTACAATGTCATGTGATAGACATAAACATTTATTCGATACTGTAACAAATTAACTAAAGATGATATTTAAGTTTTTTTATGAAATGCAACAAAAAAAATCTTAGAAAAAAACTCTGTTTTGAATCATGGCATGAGGTGTAACGTGTTCCTGAAAGAAAACGAAGGTCTTTAATCAAGTGAAGTTGACCTTATTTAAATATAGTTTATTTATTTTCAAGGTTCAACGTGTCTGAGTCATTTTTTATAACCGAACCAATATAACAATCAAAGTCAGTGATTCGCAGAGTCATCCAGCTATCAAACACTTAAAGGACATTTTTCATGTCTCGACTCATAAATACAGTGAAATGTTTTGCAGATTAATAAGTAGTGGTGGTCACCTCACAGTGAGAGGGTCCTGGATTTGAATCGGTGGGCTGGGGGAGTATCCCTTATGCATGTTAAGTTAACTGGTGACGCTAAACTAGCTTAATGAATGTGTGTCTGTGTCTCTGTTTCGACAGACTGGTCACCAGGTAAAAACAAATGTAATTAATTTAATTCTTAGCTATAAAGGCAAAGGTGGGCAGTAATACAGATTTTGTATCTCTGTACAGTGTCACAGTGGATTTTAACTCAAACGCTGAAGACATGATTGAATTTCTTTAACCTTGAAGCTTTAATTCAACGGGGTTGCATTAGCTGAGGATTTTTCATTTTTATATATGGTCCCCAATTTTAAAAGACTCAAAAGTACCATATGCACTTTCATGGCCATGTGAGGCCCGTTCCCTCATTATCACAATAAACTGGGATTGATTCGAGGGCTGAACTTCCATTTCATAGCTTTTCACTGACACGCTTAGTATAAAGTTGAAAGAAATGTTGATGAAAGTGAAGGAGGACATCAGGTTTCGTCTCCTGTCCAAGCGGCTTCGTTCGTTTGAGAACAGCTGTGGAGACACACAGCTCCCTAAAAACGTAAGTACTTGTCACGTCGGTGCCTCCCACAACTCCTGATTGACCTGTCCTGCTCTGCTTCTGTTCTAGTCCTCCTGTGCATTTCCAGGTTATTTCCTTTTTCCCCCAGTTTTTGAATTTATCAATAACAAAATAACAATCTTCATCTAAATACAAGGAATAATAATAATAATAACAATACAAGGACTTAGAAATATCAGCAAATTATTGGAGGAAGATCGCTGAAACTAAAGGAATGGACATGTGGGAATGTACAAAGAAGTGGAAAAACTGGAGGGATCAATATGTTTGTCCCTGGAACAAAAAAAAAAACACAACCACGCGGTAATCAACACATTTTACACTAGAACA